AGCTCTACAAGAGGAACTGGGTATATTACTGTGTATTCAACACCAACACAAACCTTGTCTAGGAGTTTCTCAAAGCTTTCTTCATAGACCTATTCAGCTCTACCAGCTATTCTGTGAGCTTGCCAGCACACTGCCCGTGATCAGGGAGCAAACAGGCTGCAAAGGGGGGAACTGCCAGGCTGCAATTAAAAGTCACAAGCAGATATTTCCTAAGGCTTAGATGAGGAGGAAGAGGGACATATTTATCCTAGAAATACTAGTGCATGGTGTAGTGGGGATGAGGCCCAGGCAAGCCTTCTCCTTCCAAGGCAGAGTGAGACACATCACACTCACAACTCCAGAGACATGCTAGACTGTCCGTGAACAGCTGCCCTGACAGCTGGTAGACTGTTGAGTGAGATAAACACTTCAGAAAGTGTATTTTTTTTTCCAATTCTAGAACTAACAGCATTACTTTGAAAGGAACCCTGAAACATCTGGCCTGGTGAGGAGGGGGTGTGAGTGGTGGCAGGGCCATGTGAGTGCTTGAGTGTTGCTGCCTGCCAAGCATAACATTCCTTTGGAAGTGGTTGTGCAGTGTCCCTTCCTGTGAACACTGTTGTGGGGACTTATCCTGTGATGTTGTTTTCCATGAGGAAATGGCATCCAGCTCCTGCTGGTTTGCAAAGCAGCACAGCAGTGACTCAGAGAACATACACTTGCCATTGCCCATAGATGGCACAGCTCAGGGGTAGCCAGGCAACTTCTGGAAGATTTTTCCCCAGAATGGATCATCATTTGATCTGTTAGAAACCGCCCTGTGCATGGCAAACTGAATCCTCAAGGGTCAGCCAAGGCTGCTGAGCCATGACAGAGGTCTTTTCTTGATTTATGAGTTCCTGTGAAATTTCTGATCTTAGCAGCAAGAAGAAGGTTGGAAATAGTCCAAACCAAGACTGCAGCTCAAGCTCTTGTATCTCTGTCTGAGAGGAACCTTCAAATGAACAGGTAAGAATGGGGCTCTCCAGCTCTGGAGAGCTCAGACAGCCCAGCCTCAGCTGGCAGAGAAGGGGGAAGGGCAGAGATGAAACTAGTTACCAAAGTACTAATCGTTAGACTAAATTCATGATCACAGTCCCCCAAAACCTCTTGTCAGACTTATTAGATAGATAGATATGATCAACAATAGCTGTAATATTTAAACATTTAAACTGTAGGTGACGTTGCTTGGTAGTTTTATTTAAGCAACATAAACCACTTCAGCAATCATGCTACTGCCAGGAGATTCCTTTCAAATGGCAAATCCACACCTGCAAATGTTGACTTGGGCCTCAGCCTCAAGAAGAAATCTTTCTGTGCTTAAAATAATTGCTACCAAAATCATGTGGTGCCCTTGATCTCAGTAAGCACAGCTTTGCAGCATACTTATGTGCTGAAATTCAGGTGGGGTGTATGGCATGGGAATACAGAGAATGAGGACCAGTGGGGTAAATGTAGAAGCCTGAAGTATGCTAAAATAAGCCACATCTTGTACAGTGTACAGTCTTGAAAAAAAAAATAATAAAAAAAAATAGAGACAGGTCCCAGTTGAGCATATCTTTGTGCTGTCAGAGTGGAATACTCTCCAGTCATGCTCTTTTAGATATTATGCATGAGGAAAGTGTAACAATTAACATAACCTTTCCTTACTGAGCATATTGGGCATTACATGGGATTTGGATTCAGTGGAGTGATACTGCAATGTACTGAAATCACATCACAACCATAATATAGCATCTGAAATATACAGTTAAATCACAGTGCAAGCATGTTTCTCATTACTGGTCCCTTCATGCTCATTGTCACAATGCTGGGCCTCCCCAGTCACTGGGAAGGAATATGTTGAAGGAATATGGTTGAAACCATCTCAAGCCTATTTCTTTCTTCAAATTTTGTGTTATTTGCTGTCCAGTCTTCATAATTTATGTTGGGCTGAGCCACATATACACCACAACTCCCCTTATACGCCCCCCCCCCC